TGTTTGATTAGAATCTATGAACATAAATGTAATAGAATCGAACACTGTGCCATATAAACAAACACATAGTTTAAATTTTCAAATTCTGTAATCATATATAATAATACTTATACAGGCTCATTTCTTTATGGGAAACAACAAAGTTTACATATTCTTTTTACAAAGAAGTATAATGTTTTGGTCATTTCAAAAATTTGCCACTAAAATACGAATTTCGGAACAGGCCGGATTGTATTATTTCAAAATTTCAATAGGTTAGTTTAGGGTTTTCGTACACATGTTCTGTTCGAAGATTCCCCATTAGTTTTCAACAGTTTCTTTAGTTAGAGATACAGAGGAATTTGTAAATAACTAATTTTTTCTAAATATAGTCAGTTATTGTGATCATACGTTTCTTTAAACTTCTGAAAGGATGCATTAGAAATACGTTTGTTTGACGGATTGCTCATAAAAAGTATACACGTAAATCTATATAATTATTCATTCAAACAGCATTGGGAAGAGCCCACATTGAATACATTATGAATTAATTTCAAACAAAGTTTAATTAAAGAAACTTGTTTTCATTCCTTAAAAGATGATAGAAATAACCAATAAAGCTCTATAGTTTCAAATAAACCCATTGTAGGGCAAGTATGTGAGCCGCAGGATATAATCTTAGAATCTCAGATTGTTAAAATGACTTTATAATTACAGCTTTCCAAACCATCTTTAAATTATTATTTCTGCGATATCTCACAAACATCTTTTTACAATGTCGGTAAATTGTTGCACATGTGTATACTATAGATATTTCTATTTCAATTTCAAGTAGTACATAGGTTATGATTCTTTTTTTTTTTTTTTTTGGTGACACACATCTGTGCTGTTTTTTATCTCAAAGGCGTGCATACTGACACACATACACAAGTACGAAGAGTACATATGTTCATGTGCCTAAATGTGTATATATTACAGTTATTGCTTTTGTTGTTATTATTATTGTATGTAGCGTGTGTGGTGCGCACTTAGTTGTTGTTATTATTATTTTGTGGTATTTTGTAGCGCCACACACACACACACACACACACACACACACAGTGGTTTCATGAGTCTTCTCTGCTTGTGTTGGGCCTTTTGTTGAACACAGTTTATTGTTGACTGACTGACTAACTCAGTGACTGAGTTTTGTTGTTATTGCTATTGTTGTTAGTGGTTAGTTCATGTTGTTGATATTGTTTGTGTTGCACACAAAAGGCGAATTTGTTGATTTAGTTGGCTTGTTTGGCTGTCTAGTGCTTTGACAATACAGCCTTATAAATCAGTTGCAATAATGATAATGATAACAAAAACAACATGATAAACAACAAGCTTGTTAACATTTTACACATTAAACATACGTAAAACGAATAAACACATAAGCGCTACAGAAAACTTGTCGAAATAGTAAACAAAACAATGTTAGTTCTGAGACTTAAAAGGAGACTCTCAAATGTGTAGTTGATCCAAAATATCTATGCAAACATATGGAAAAGATTTTCATTACAGGTATTATTTGATTAATAATCAATAGTTTTCTTAAGTCATATTTAGAAAATCTGAACCGAATCGTAATTGACATTGCCACAAATGTTTGGATGTTGAAGAATTGATTTGGATTAAGATAGCCATATAAATCGGTAGTAATCTATGACATTTATACCACAATCACATTATTTCCATGATCCCCAATTAACGTTCATAAAACCTGGATTGTTAGAATTATTTATGAAGTTGAGAAGCAGTTAAAAATTAAAACAAACTTAATATGTGTATGGACTAGAAGAACCAATATAACCAGTTTAAAGACTCTACTTACAATAGCTTCATATATACAGGCGTACAGACAGACATACATACATTTTTCAAAACTCATTCATGCTGATAACTTATTTCATTGATACACGATTATAGGATATAGCAAACGATGTATAAACTATAATGTGTGGACAAACTTAAAGTACGTACAGATATCATAAATTTTAGCATTAGGCTTAAAATTGTTTGTAGGCTCTCTCGCGCACTCTTTTTAAGCTGCCGTCGACATGAAACTGGAAATATGAAATCACAACTATGGCTACCAACAACAACAACGCCGCACAGTTTTCACTCTATTTATAGAGCAGGCACAAAACAACAATAACAACAACAGCAAATGGGGAAAAAAGAAGAAAACAAATCAAAAGCAAAGCGCAGAACGCGAAGTTTCAATTTTTTCTCGCTTTTTGGCATCAGGCCAAAAGTTTTCTGTGCCACGGCTCACAACCAGTTTGTTAAGCAGCCAAACCACCCAACCACTCAAACACCCACCCACCCACAGAGCAGCAAGACCAAAAACCGCGCCACTAAAAATTGCAATGAAAATAAACACACACACACACACACACTTACAAATGTATACTCGTATATTCGCAAACTCGAACATTAAGCGAATTTTAAGTAGATGGTTTGGTCAGTGGTTGTTTGACTAGCGTTAAGGAAGCAGGGGGTTGGGGGAGGTAGTGGGGTCATTCATTTGAATCTGGCTGGTATATTCGCTAGCTTTTAAAGGGTTAAATGGCTACGAGGTCGCCTTTGTTATGCGCTTTTTACCTCACTGACTGGGTCAGACAAAGGAAATGAGCTCACTGGTATACATTTTCCAGTTCATTTGCGTTGATTAACGCCGCCGCCCTAAACATACATATATGTACATACATAGGTATATCTGTTTGTTTGTTTGCTTGCCTGCCAATTAATAATTTGGCTTTGCCTGTCAATTCCAACCCCCCAACGAGAATAAACGTAAATATTGAGGTAGACATGCAGACACACATGCGTCAGGAATCGAACCTATGCTAAGTCTTGACTCTTTGACAAAGGTTGGCTGGCGCCAGCCAAACTTTTTAATCAAGTTAAAATAAAGCCACAATAGCAATTAGTGTAGGAAAATTGTGCAATCTGTCTACGCATATTTTCTTATCTTTTATATCCTTCTTTTTCTGCCAATGGCGTGTAAGAGGAGTGTCCGGGATCATAGGGTGGTTCGAAAGGGTTTGAGCAAGCTGGAGCAGTGCCTTCGTCAATATACTAATAACTGCATTCATTCGAAAACAGCACCATAGTAACTGAGCATAAGATGATTAGCACTCAGGTGAAGAAGTTTACACATTAAGCCAACATTTTTGTTATGCTTTGAAATGAGTTGTTCAAAAAATATATATTTTTTTTAATTGTAAAATAATATTAGGATTTAAGTGTTCTTCAAAACATTGCACAGTATCGGTGAAATAAGTAAACTTCAAAATGATTGATCATTTAAAAAAATACAAACAAAATAGTCGCGCTATTTAGATAAATTTAGCGAATAATTTCGCACTTCCGGTTACCTTACTAAGTAATTGAAGTCATTTCTATCCGCAATTAGACTTCTTATATGAAGTTAAGTACGAGCAAACTTAAGGCCTCACGTTTATTTGCTGTTCAGGATATGTTTTCCATCATCACCCGCAAGTCTGGCCAATTGAAGGAAATACATCATCCAATAGTTTCTTATATATGTCATTTTATTTTCATAAAATGTGTTAACAAATTGTAGAATGTTTGACATCTAAAACCAAATAAAGTCAATTTTCCATACAAATTTTCATCGCCATTTTACCCCATTTACAGATCGAATTCCCCCTGATCAATATAAAGAAACCTAATCCCCAAATTACAGGGCAGCGGTTGAGAGTCTTAAAGTTCTATAAAACATTTATATATACAAATATAAATTGTATAATTTTTATTATGTAGGCCCTAATATCAGCATTCTTGAAACCTATTTCCATTTCGCAAAACAGACCCTTATAGAAACACTCAGAAACTGTGATCTGTTTCATAATCTTGCTCGATACTACTAAGCTAAACATTAACTAAATTTATAAACATTACAAAACGTGTGGGACTAGTGCTGACTAATAACAGAGACTTAAGCTTGGATAACCAGTTGGCTTGTCAATAGCAATCGGAAAAGAAATTCGTTAGTTATGACGTCAAACCTCTGATTATATAGAGTCGACCATGCGGGCAATTCGCCTGCGACATATGCGTGAGTCAGCTGGCATGTGAGAGAGCGAGCGAGTGAGAGACTGAGCCGCTAACTGATATTGCCTCGATCCAAGTTGGTTTTGCTTTCCTCTTCATTATTATTATTATTATTATTATTTTTGCGACGACAAAGGTTAAATGGTCAATTTGTTGTCGCCTATTCTCACATTTTAGTGAGCTGTGCGCTCTTTTTATTGTTTGTCGTCGCTGTACTCGTAAAAGCTTTCTTTCTTTCTGTCCACTCAGCCAGCCAGTCAGTTATCAGTTAAGATCATTAAATATTTAAACGGTGCTTTATTTGGATCGCGCCAATTGTTGGGTGTGTGCAAATTTTCATACTACAATCTCAAATTTGCTTAAAGCCGCTTAGAAGACAAATGCGCAAAGGTAAGCAGGAAAAGGTCGAGAGCAAACAAAATAGCAAACGAAACGTGCCTTTCAGTTACACTTGAAAAAACTAATATTATTTGATTCGACCCAAAAATTGTAAAAATTTTATCTTCTTAAAATGTTTCTTGATTCGCCTTAGAGACGGTGAAGCGATTTAAATTAACATATTATTTCTTTTTAATATGCGTTCAACATTATTTAAAGTGTTTGAATTTGGCAAAATGTTTCCCGGTGTAAGCCAAAGAGCACACAAAACGAAAAGCTGGCCAATTAGTTTTGGCCATTTGTGCTCAATTTATAAGTCTTTAACAATAGCTACTAAGAATGTGATGTTCCGAGCAAACACAAAACCACAAAAGATTCGCAGAGCTTTGGCTGCCACTTGGAACCGGTTGCGTCTGAGGAGTCAAAGCGGCTGGTTTTTCCCAAAACTAAGGCTATGATGGATGCGCAAACGATGGGCTGCAGAATTAGCAGCAACAACAACAATAACAAAAGAGGAAAAAAGTCGCAACACTTACCTTGTAAATTTGTATCTCCTCGAGCACCACTTCCGATTCCTTCAGCACGCGCTCCACTTCCTCGTAGACAGCACGTTCTGTTTCTGTGGGCGCGGCATTCTCGAAGTCCAGAAAAACATCATAAGATTTTGCAGCGCAACAATTTGAGTCGTCGCGTGATAGCAGACTCAGAAGTTTGCCCATTTTGTTAAATGATTTATTTTTAGTTTATTTAAACAAAATAATTTTCCTTTTCTCTCCGTTTTTGTTGTTACCAATTAGCACTTTTTGGTTTTATATGTTGTAATGAAGCACTTTTTTAATATACAATTTGTAGCTGTCGAAAAATAAGAAATGCGGGTTGAGTGGAGAAAAAAAACGTTTAACAGCTGCTGGCCACAAATTAACAAGTTGCACCTGTTGGCGCATCAAGGGTTAATAAATTGTGCAGCTAAATGTGATAGGGGGGACCAGGGATCAGCAATTGATGCTGGGAACTTGTTTGTTGGCACAAACGCACACACACACATCTGCCATATGTGTGTGTGTGTGTGGCTCTATGACAAAGGAAAATGTTTTGAATGAAAAACAAAACGCGCAGCAGGGTGGAAAATGCGACAAAACAACAAAAGTCGCTGCTGCACTGTAGAAAATGTTGGACTCCAGCAAGGCTTTGCGGGGGGTGGCAGGGTAGCTAGGGCGTATATGTATATATATATATATGCATGTGTGTTGTTTGATGTGTGTCTGTGCAGGAAGTGATGCCAAAACCTATCGAAATTTGTAAACAATATCGCTGGCAAAACAACAACAATCACATGCAAGGCCAATTTTCATAAATTTATCGCACTTTTCGTTGGAAAAACAAGTTTTCAAGCACATGTATAAACATTAAGCAGCGCCTTTCTGTAATTGCGAAAATAAAAACACACACGTTCTCTTTCATTATTTATATTGCGAATGTGTGTGTGTGTGTGTGATGTTGGTGGCGCCGTTGCCGCCTGCCTTGCCATTGCTTTTGTTTATCTGTACGCCTTATCTGCCTGTCACTTCTCTATTTTATTCCTATTCCTGCTATTTGCGCGCTTATCTGCATTTAATATACAATTTTATTGGTATTATTATTCAACTTTATTTTTTACGGTTGGCAGTGCGTTTAATTTCTGCACGGCCAGCATAGCATTGGAATTTTTGCCAGCACCGTTTCCTCGAAACAGGCAACAAAAAAACATCAAGGAAAAATGCGCGCTTATCACCTTTTTGCACCACGCTCGCGTGTTAGTATGTGTGTGTGTTGCGCCTGCACGCTGCGTTTTAATCGTATCAAGGAGATATTGTGGTTTTTGTACTGAATCATTAATAATCATATAAATGCACTTTGTTACACCATCATCATTTCTTTGCACAATTTTATCTTTTACTTGAATATACAAAAACACGCACCAAAACCCGTCGTAAACGACGCGCACCCACACTCAACGACAGACAAAAACATACTAAATTATCGATATGTGTATCGTACAACATTTGCGCTATTCTTTCAGCATTGCACCGGCAAATGCGCATCGATACACATCGATATGTGTATCTGACCGATTGAAGTGTTGTAAAACATTGCACTCACATCGCTGCGGCACGCGCTGAGCATTTTCTATTTTACAATTTTTGCATTTATTGACTAAACGACTGTGTAAATAGAGCGCCAATCACATCAGCATGACGGAGGATAAAAAGAAGGTACAGCTGGACGATATACAGAAGCTGGTGTTTGAGCGCATAGCTAAAAACGATACGAGCAGCTTTAAACAACTGGTGGTGCAGCTAAAAAATGGTGTCAATTTTGTGGACAACGATGGCATGACGCCGCTCCAGCATGCCTGCTGTAAGGGCAACAAAGATGCTGTTCAAATACTTCTTGACATGGTAAATAGCTACAGGCCAGTTTCCCAAAAGCGAATAGTCGTTAACACTTAATCTTATATACAGGGAGCCGACATTAACTTTAATCAGCATGGCGCAGATTACACGCCTCTGCACTTCGCCGCGCTATCCGGTAACACCCAAGTGTGTCGCCTGCTGCTGGACGCCGGCATTAATGTCAATAGTGTAAACAGTGTCTCACGCACGGCTTCCCAGATGGCGGCATTTGTGGGCAATCATGCCTGTGTGGAGACCATCAACAATTACGTGTCGCGGACCAGCCTGGAGTATTACACACAAGTGCATGGACAACAAAAGGAGCCGTACATACCACCTACACAACTGAAAGCCTTCCACACATTTGTCATTGAGATTAACTTGCATCCAGTACGCATTGCACTTAATGCTCAAAATTTGGGACTACTAAGGCATTTGCCTGGCCTGAGTAGGGCTTTGTCGCTGATGTGCGTAAAGGAGATGCAAAAGACTCACGATATTAATGAACTGCTAGCCTTTAAATTCCACTATTTCGGCTGGATTGTGGCTGAACTGATGCGCTGTGACGAACAGTTTAAGGCGCAGCACAAGGATAAGGCTGGCGAAGGGGATGCAGCCAATAAGAATGATTTCATCGAAGTGTTTGTTAAGCGGGTGCTTAAGGAAAACAAGCTCGGTCAGCTGGACTATGTAGAGTTCACTGTGCGCGAGTGCGCACGGGAATTTCCCTTCCGCGAATGCACGATCTTTAGGCAAATAGCCACGCAATTAGGCTCCAAGGATGCACTGCCCGCGTTGCAGGTTCTGCGAAATGCCATCAACGGCATGCGTGGATTTGTGGTAAGCAACGAAATAGGTTTTGTAGAATTTAATAAACTTCAACTTCGTATTGCAGGACGAGAGCAGTTACTGCAGCAGCTGTGGCCAGGAGAAGCCTGACAAAAAGTGTTCCAAATGCAAGGCCGTCCAATACTGCGATCGCGAATGCCAACGTTTGCATTGGTTTATGCACAAAAAGAGCTGTGCTCGTCTCTTGGCTGCATCTCAGGCAGGAGCTCCAGGGCCACAACTGCCACGGGCGCCTATTGATGCCTCCGAGCTGCGCGAGGAACTGGCCAAGTTGTCAACTTAATATTCCTTTTGAGTTGCATGTGCAATTTAGGTCATACATTTTGTAATAAACATGATTTTATTCAAAATCGACACATTTATTTTTTATCGCTTCTTTGAAATGCGAAAATTTCTGCTTTAAACATTTGTTGCCTACTTTTGGGCACAGCAGTGGACAAATATTCTATTGCACGCTTTCAGGCGAGCAATTGACCACAATGGCCAAAGCTACCATATGGTATGACAGTGCTGCCAACCGCAATGAATTTGATAAGGGTGCTGCCAAGTGCCGCTGGTTGTAATGCTACCACCTCAGGCGGTAAGAGCCTTAAAATGATATCGAATTTATTAAAAACATTGGCTGGATATTCCAAATTTGTAAGTTTGTAATTTGTTTTGTAGTTCTGCACGTTCTAAAATGCAAAATGTTAGCTGCAAAATTTAGTATTTTCAACACAAGCTTCTGTGCGAAATAATACGGTTTGAAAAGTCTTTATAAATTCTTGTTTCCCCGACTGGGTTGCGGTTAATCAAAGCCGACATTTTCGGGAATTGTATTTATTTTAAGTAAAGCATTAAACGAAGGCAATGAACTAAAAATTATATTTATAATATTTGCAAAACCAAATTATGGACTGGAAATATAAGCAATCATGGAAATCAGATAAATGCTTTCTATATTTATAACAATATTTTAAGCATAGATTGGAAATTAATCAGAATCGAACCAGTTTGTGTTTGGCATATATTAATTAACCTTCTTATATTGTTATCTGGATCGTAAAACAAAATCTCAACATTTTTATAGCTTTAAGTTTAAATACCAAATCAAATATATTATAATTAGCAATAATAAACAGACGCATGCGAACAAAAGCCAAAACGCGCGCACATTAAATCCCAAATATGAACGGCAACACCTTCTCAATAAAGCATCGTTATCCTCATTATCATTATCAACAGCTTTTGAAAGAAAACCGGATCCCTACATATCTACCTACACGCATTCACATACACACATTTAATCAAATTCATATATTTATATATGTGTGTATAAAACAGGCACAAATTAGAAATGCAATTTTGAAGGCGATTAGCATTTTTATCACATAATCTACGAATTTTGACGCTTTTTGCCACTGTTTAAGTCGCGGCCCGACTAAGACAAGAAAACACAAACAAACACAAGCCAACAAATTAGGGCCCTATGCATAAAACAAAAACAATCTATGTGGCATTATTGTTAATATCTTGGGGTGAAAACTTGCAAAGCCCATAATTTAATTGTGTGTTTTTTTTTTCTTTGAAATCTGAAACGCAAATTAATGTGACAAAGACACAAAAAACTTTAAAAACTAAGCTCGAAATTAGTCAAAGCAGCTGCGCAAAAATTGGTGCTGTCGTGCAGCCAGTGAATTATTTTATAGATTCGAGTATATCTGTTAAATATATGCAAAATATATGCGCAGGTTTTCTATGAATGAAACACTCAAAAACAAAGCTAATTTCGGGCAAGTCGGCGTGTGCTTTTGAACTTTTCAATGAGCGTTTTAAGCCCCTTCTTAGCTAAGTTTGTTGTTTGTCGTGGTCGCTGTTTTATTTGTTGCATTTGTTGTTGTTGTATGCTTCGTTTTAGTGGCGCACTTAAAAACTTAATTAAACTTATTAAACACGAAACGCTTGGCGCCACCGTTTTCAAATCTGGGACCGCACGCATGCGCGCAACGTAGACGTCGCTGTAGGCGCGACTTATCAGCACAATTATAGAAGCTAAAAAGCCGCCGCTACCCCAGACAGACAGATTTGTCGCATTTGACGCGATAATGCACTGAAAATTCTGCCGCTGATGCTGCTGCCGCACTGACGTCTCCCTCCTCCTCCTGCCACCGGCTCTGCCCCTGGTCATGGCCTGTGGCCATAAAAGGTGCGATAAAAACGAAAATTTCACAAGACGACAACAGCAACCGCAACCGCCGCCTCTGCGTCATCACACTCAGAAAAAAGTTTTGAACATTAAAAAAATGTGAAGAAGCCCAAATCTCATCCTTGAGCCAACTGAAGCTTTGGTCTGGACGCATGCCCTAAGATCCACTGTCATTATAAAAAATACCAAACAAATGTTAATAAACTAGTCACAACTGTATACTTAGACTTTAAAAAATTAGTCCGCTTAGAATATTAAATGAAATTAATATTTTTAATAATTGTGCTCCAAATACCAAAGATTTTCAGGTTGGCAAGAACAGGCGGAAGGAGATACAAAAATATACCTATGATCAGCATGGTGAGACGAAACAGAAATGACAATCTGTTCGTTCGTTCTTTTGTCTGTCTGTATGAACAAGAAGAACATTCCAACCAGAACGGTATTACTTGTACTATAGACTTGAATCATACATTTGCAGATCAAGTTTATTACAAATCATGTGTAACCCCATTATTTTGAATACCTACCGTAGTATCGATTAGTGTAAATATAAAGATATGAATATCTTACGAATGAGTTAATTTGGCTTTGAGTACCTCGTAATGTTTTGAACTTTCATCAAAATCGGTGAACATTATTATGTAGCTGCCATTGAAAAAATCCCTACTGATTTTAATTTTAGAACTAAAAACTTTACATTTATTTATTTACATCGGAATCGTAATCATATCTGGTATTAATGGGGTTTTTATTGTGTCTCACGATATTCTATATCCTATATGTCGCTGTAATAGGAATGATGACGACTTTAACGTTCTATTATTTTGGACATTTTTCAGTCTGAGGAACTTGAACGTAGCACTTTAAAATCGGTTCGTTTGAGAATTAAAAGCAGAAGAAGAAAATAAGTCTTTGTTGAATTACTGATGATTATACAAACATGGTTCTCCAATTTTTCAAATGATAGAAAAATAATTTTTTATATCTTTGTAGCGTTGTCTAACATTTAAATATTTTCTAGAATTTAATTAAGAAATGAAAATTTTTCAAGTGCAGCATCCAGGAGCATTTAAACAGCTCAACAACTGGCGGCAAACACCAAACACTTTCAAAGCCGTCAAATCGCTGCTCATAATGGACGCCTTATCGCCGAGAATTGTTTTAACTACTACCGGACTTTGTTTAGACGCATGCGCCGCCACTCTCTACGCTCGACTCGCACATCGAACTGCGATCGTCGATTTTGAATGTCTTGTCTTTTTTTTTCTTCTCTTTTTGGATTGTAGTCTGAGTGCCCACCACAGTCCCATAATGGAGCACATTAATTTGTTTTGGGCCTGCCAAGCCGTTCAAGTTGTTTTGTTGGCGTTAATGCTGCGACAAGTTTGCTGAAAGCTGCAAAACCTGTAAAAACGGAAGCGGTGCCTCGCAACTTTGCTGAAGGTATTTAATATGGCCCTTCGTTTGATCTCACAAATGGTATGTGACTAAACAGATATTTGAAGGTATATAGTACCATAGTCTATATTATTTGGGAATATAACGATGTGAACCCAGAGTTTCAAAATCTCAAAGATATTAAGCCAAAGCAAGAACCGGCAAAAGCAATTTTTGAAAAGTTGTAAAACCATATCTTCTATTCCTCTACTATATATAAAGAATAAATAAATAATAAAAGGACAAGTCTGCTTAAATAAATGCACCTTTCTTTATTTGAAAGGATTATCACTGATGTAGATCATTAAAATATTAACTAGTAAGGGTATACTACTACTAGGGTATAAAAATGTTTTAGATTGTGCTTAAAGCCAATATTTGATATTAATATCTGTGAAAAAATATTTCCAAATATTTAGTACACAGAAGTTAGCCCCTTTCGTCTACAAATATTTAATGATAACATTTGTGTCAAGCAAATAAAATAGTTGAAAAGAAATATTTTCGATAAACATTATTATTTTTCAATCCAATACATACTGGTACTAGCTTCGAAGCTATTTAGTATTTTGATTAGATTTTGAAACTAAACTCTATAACTAACTTCACTTCATATGGACATTTCCAAAGGGAATATTGGGTTGCTGACGAAATCTTTATAAACATTTTAGTTTCTTAGTATACCCTGTCAGTAAATACACTCTGTTCAGTCCACAGCTAGATGTTTTGGGGTATCTGTTGATAAGGGACATTGAATATTATGAGGGACTTTTTATCCGGCAATTTCCCTGTCTTCCGCATCTTTCATTGAAGAACCAGTTGTGATATTTTCAATTTAAAACTTAGCTTTATTATCGCTTAGCTTAAAAATAATTAACAAATTACAGCTTAAAATATCATATAGGGGTGGAGGGCCTGCAATTTGGAGGGCCTTGCGGGCAAGTGCACATTGGAATCACAAAGAATTGTTAGGTCTAGTTATACATATTAAATGGCTATAGTTAGGATGATGCCCGGACTTTAGTAGGCCAGAATGGCAGATATGCTGAAACTGCTGCGTTTTGTGGCAGTTGCCTTCGGTGATGTTGTTGTTGCCGCAGTCTGTGGTGTTGCTGGTGGTGCTGATGTGCTGGAAGCTGGCTCCGTGGCTTGTGGCATCATTGGCGCTGGTGCCTGTGCTGGTGTGGGCGAGTGTGTGGGCATCGGGATTGGCAAACTAATCTGTGGCATGGCTCCAAAGTAGGCAGCGGCCGCAGCAAAATCAACAGCTGCTGGTGTTGCATGCAACAAAGCTGCGCTCGAGGCATAACTGAGAGCATGATAAGCCGCTCCGGATGGTGCATAGTAGGGCGGCGAGAGACTACGCTGCGAGTCCTGCTCGAAGTCCGGACGCAGACGCTTCGATTGCGGCGAATCGCAGCTGCTAATGCTGGAACGGTCGTCGGCATCCGAATCGCCGCTCGAGTTGGCGCTACTGTTCAGCTTACGCTTGCAACGCGATTGTCCTGTCTCGCGGAAGCCTTTGGCGAATGGATTGTTGTCGATCTTCAGCTTGGTAATGCGATCGTTCTGCAAGGACAACAGAGAGACAGATTGTTAGTTAGTTTTCTGAAATTTGAGCTGCACTTGAGAATTGGTGTCAAAAGTCGCAGGCAATTAACAATTAACAGACAGGATATGGTTCTGGCGCCTCGGGCGATCTTCAAGTGGCGACAATTTCTAAATATAGCAATTAGTCGCACCACCCGCAGAGCCTTTATCTGCTGTTGGCAATCTTTCTGAATGAATCCAAACATGATATGAAGTCGAAATACACACCTGATAGGCCGTCACGGCAACAAACTCCGTTTCGGGAAACACAAACGCCTGCTGCGGCGCCCAAGGCAACTGCGTCAGATCGCTGCTGCGTATGATGTGGAGGCGTGGCTGATATTTATGCATGCTGGCCAAAACGATCTGCAGGAGGGAAGGAAAAAGGAATGGTAAGTACTGAGTAACCACATGCCTTTAAAAGTACCAAGTGATGTCGTCACTAGCTTATCCGTAAAGGTTCTTATCTCAAAGATAATGTAAAACGTATGTCTATATAAAGCAAATGTTTGACTATATATTTACTGAAGCGTTAGAGGATGTGTAAACTCTAAACTATTTTTCCGAATAATCGTTTTAAGATTCGTAACATAAATTAAACTATATTGCTTTAATATTTGGTTTAATTTTTATCTTCTTAATTAAACTTTATTCAAACAAATCGCGAGTTCAATGAAACATAGTTTAAAATTGGCATCTGTATCTTAATATTTGATATTAAACTTTAATCATAATATAAAATGCCGAGCAAAAGGAAAAGTTTTCAACTTTAAGCAACTTCAATCGTTAATATGTAAACAAGCCGCGAGATCTTTGAAAGTTCTTGCTATATTTTAACAACATTTTTAATCTTTCAGCAATTAATCAATTAATTTTCTAATTATTTTTTATCATGAAACGATACACAATCCTCGAGTTTTATGAAACTTCATTTTAAAAATTGTCATGCATTTTGTTGCTCAATATTCAAAAATTTTTTATTTTTAAGCAGTAAAATAACTCGCTAAGCATGTATGTATGCAGGGTTAGGACCGTCATTAATGAAATAAATAACACTTACATGTCCATTGCTATCCAGTGTGTTGTTTGTGAGCTTGACCTTGTTAAAGAGCAGCGCCTGTGATTGCCAGTGGGCGCCTGTGGCCGGACTATCCGGATGTAGATACATGCGTTGCGGACTCTGTGGCTCAGCGCCACCGGCCGGCACCCATTGTGATCCAGAGAACTTGTAGCGGCAATCACCAATGGGCATCATCTCGAGCAGAACACAATAGCTGGTATCCTCGTCGAGACCGCTGAGGGAGACGCGCATCGATGGGAACATGCGTCTGCAAGGGACAGAGAAAAGAGGTTTGATTAAATAATATATGGGCAGCCTATAAATCAAAAACACAAAACACAGCCCAGGCTGGGAGGCGGGGGCAATCTTCTAAGCTGCAAAATAGGCGTTAACCGTGGCATTTTGATTTGTGGCCCGGTTGCTAACAAGTGTGTAATTATCGGCAGCGTACACGCGCACAGCGGGCGCTGCAGCAGTGCCTCGGATTGAATCGGATCGATTTAAAACGTAACGCAAACAAAGCCAACAACTATTACTCGATCTCTATTTTTTCTTTTTCTCTCTTTTTTTTTTTTTTTTTTTTGATATGACACACATGATTAATTGTTCGGAGCGAAGCATGGCGCCAAACAATTAGGAAATCTTCTATAGAAGGCTCAGTTTCCTAAAGTTGACGCGCTACTTGTTTGGATCGATGAATGCATGTCTAATGAGTCGAGAAAGTGGTGAAGAAGAAGATGAAGAAGGCTAAGCCATACGCTTGTAGACTCATAATTATGTTAATTCAATGGGCTGCCGAATCGGTAGTCAGAATTTGCTATCAAAAATATGCCCTGATCGAAGCAGAACAACAGCGCGAGAGAGGATGAACGGTCTGGCAAGACAATGCAGCTTATTGTGGATAAAGTGTGAAAACTCAGGTAGAAGCTGTCCAATGTCCAAGACGCCGCTTCCCATTGTCAACGCCACTGCACAATGCAGACGAAGAAGAAAACAAAATTTTATGAGCGGGCCGGCGCCAGCGCGACGTCTGCACTTGTTGTTGTTGTTGTTGTTGCTGTTGCTGTTGTTGTCACTGTCCACAGAGCCGGGCTCTAAAGATGTGGCCCGAAAGACAAACTCAAGAGTGCGCTCGCGCTCCTGCTGCGTTTTGAATTATCGCTAGGCGCCACATTAGTTTAGGTTTCTTCTCTTTTTTTTTTTTGTTTTTTCTTTTTCGAGTCGGAACAAATATTTACATAGGCCTCGCTTGCACTTGACTTTTCAGACTTGTACTCGGTATTTGGTTCAATCGAAATGGAAATGGAAATGGGAATGGAATTGTTGCCCTCTATATATATTTGCATAGGATGTGAAATGTATGTACATAGGTTTCTTGGTAAAAATGATGCACGACTTACCTGCCACTCTTGGTGATGATCATTTCGGTGCCGATTTTATGAAATTGACGCCACAGATCGTTGTTCTCCAGCTTGGCCTCCACGCCGGGCAATGTCGGGCGACTGGGTAGCATGATTTGCGGCTGATGGGACGGCATATGCAGGGGCAACATGCTCGGGAAGGGATCTGTGTGTGTATGTATGAATGCGTGGGTGTGTGAGGAAATAGAAGTTGTTCGGTGAGTTCATTAGTTTAACCAGAAGCTGTTTGATTAGCCATTTAATGGAAAACAGCAAGATGTGGTTGTTATGTATGTGATGTGGAATCTTGAGCTGCTCCCTAAATCATTCTTTTTATGTCAGCTGTGTAGCTGAACACAACGATTTCCACTATGGTCTGCCTTTAAAAGATCTAACCTGATGGGTTCTTGAATCTTCTACCAGCAATAACAATAATTATAAATTTACCCCTTTGAGGCATTAAAATTATCTATTTTATTCAAAAGTTTGAATATAGAAGTAAGCATTAACTATCAACATGGGTTATAGGGTTATTAAAAATAAATTTAAATAATTTTTGCAATATTTTTAAATATATGTATACACATACATACTATATATAAGGTATAAGCTTCAAGGCAGACAAAATTAAATTATAATAAAATTGTGCCAAAATGAATTTAAATGTATATTTTCGAAATCATATTTATTTTCAATTGCAATCTTTTATGTGTAAAGTTTAAACCTTTGGACAGAATTATTTGCCTGCGTTTATAATTCTCCACTATTGATTTAATTCCACTACATATGACAACTTTCACTTTGCCGTCGGCTTCTTCAGCTCTCAGTAGATAATCTTCGCTTTAACTCACCTGGTATGCGTTGCATAATCTGCTGGCGATAGAGTTCATGAGCCAGCTGTTGCTGCATTCTCATATCCATTATTTCATGCATTGAAAGCATTTTGCTACAAATTAAAATTGTAGATCACGCACACACAAGGAATGTCACTTGTTTTAAGAATTCTCACTCTTTCTCAATATAAATTGTTCTACCACTTCACTTCTCTTCACTCTACACTGCTGTGTTATTTTCTTGATGCTGCGCTCCTCGGTTCTAACACGCACGACGTTTCGCAACGAACTGATCTCGAGTAGCGCAACATCGACGCTTAGCTTAGCGTGCGTCGTAGCGACGATGCGGCTGAGAGCAGTTGAGAGCCATAGCTGAGAGCGCAATACCTGCCAAACGAGTTTTAGGCGCAGGCGCAAGCTGATTGGTTGACTGTGTCGAACGCCTACGCTGTCATACTACGGCGCTCTCGCTCTGGCATACAGGGGAGCACGCCATTTTGAAAAAGAAGCGTAGCAAGGTAGGAAAAATTGAGTAAAAAATATATGTACATATAACTGTAGCGGATTGTCGTGCTGCGTTGAGTGGCGAAGTTAACGCTTAGCGCTGTTGATTTTCATCACTATGGGCAACAGTCAGTCACAGTTGCCCGTTGCCCCTCTCTCTCTCTCTCACACACACACACTCCCATATATGCAACGCACTCTTTACTCTGTCAGCTAGCCAGCCAGCCATATAATTTCAAAGTGAGATTTTCCACAGCGATCGCTGTCTGCCTCTGACTGACTGCCTGCTGCTGTTTTTATCTTCTTCTTTTTTTTGGCGCTGTCGGAAAAATGTCTATTGCTATTTTCATTGCTGGAGACGGACGCCTGCATTTAAGGGCCACTTCGTCTTCCGTTCTACGCATGCGTTAGCCGTTTTTCTCCGCCGACAAGCCAGCCACATACATACGTACTATGTGTGTGTATGTATGTAATTAGCCATTGACAGGGCCACCATCTTGCCGGCATTGTCTGCGCCTTTTCGTATTTATTTTTATGTAGACAGGTGAAACATAAATTTTGTTGGTTTTGTTAATTGCCCGGCTTGAATTTCGACATTGACCAGCCGGTCCAGTCGAGCTCCCGACATGCATTTTGCGCTCTCACCAGATTGCTGGCCTGCTGGACGTACCACTAGCACTGGCGCTGGGGTCGCCAACTGAAAAATTGATACATTTTAGGCTGCTTTAGACTTCGAATCGGTCTTGATTAATGCTTGTCAGCAATGGAAATTGGTGTTAATAATGGTGGTAGGAACTTAGTTGGATATTGACAGGCCATGGGGGCGTTGCTTTGGGACCTTTCGAAAGTTCTCTAATGAAAAACTGCAGCTACGTATGGACGAGTATATATGTATGTATGCATATATTCTTGCATCTGTATAATGAAGGTATATACCCAACCATTTATGTATAATGAATGAATGCTGTAAGCTAACCGATTAACTTATCAAATTGCAATAATGACTGATATGTTTTTTTTTTTAATGTAAAAAAAATCAGTTTTACATTTTTTAGATCCAGTCCTTTTTTCGCCAAATACATTTTGTGATCAAGCCTTGTATTTTACTTACCCACTAATAATAGACCATTATTTCAAGACAATATGTACATACATATAAGTATTTTTAATGAATTTAATTTTTTTAGTGGTTGCGTAAAATATTTTTTTTTTTCTATATTAATTTTGCTAATATTATTACAATTACATAGTTTAATGTGTTTGCAAACAAAATACAATGAACTTAAGAGAAATGATTGGGTTATTAAAAATTTAACACTAGGGATGTCTGTTGGAGAGATCCTAGCATCTCTATAAATTATTCAAACTATGCAACCCAAAACTTTGTATCTAAGAGAAAGAGTCCATATCGAGGTGAGTCATGAATACCATGGCTACCATGTCCGTTTATTGAAGAGGTTTAAAAACTGCACTATTTTTCTGAAGTCGCATTTAATTATTGTCCTTATTATATATGTATGGAGTGGAAAAATGTCGGAATATCTAGAAAGCCGGTACAGCACGAAGCAAATCCGTTTGTTATTTAAACTTTAAGAGAAATATAATTTTTACTGTACAATCTTCCTGATTTTGAGCACTAAGATATTATCAAGTTCTTCAAAAAAAGGAAAGCTTTAAGTATATCATTATCAGAATCAAAAGTAGATGCAATATCTGCAGACCTCCATTAGTAGTATGCTACTTAGTTGTGCAGTTCATTTGGGTGATCTCTATTTTAGCAACAGCGTAGTCTCTTTATTTAATGATACTCATTTCCCATATATAGGTATGTGCTGGGGATATCGTCTGCTAATTGTCCCATTTCTCTGAGAACCCACAGACCATTTGCATTTCACTTGAAATGCTGTCAAGAGCCAGCACTTCATTGCTAATGTCGCCGCCACCTTCTAATTTCGAGCTTCAGTTCACTTTCAATGGAGTAGAAACGAAAGTTCTAAAATGTGTCTGCTCTTGCGCTTGAGACACAAACCCCAGCCACACAGCTATACACTTATTAAATTTGCATTTTGGACACATTAGCACGCTTGGCACTTCGTTGTGTAGCGTTGTGTAGACGGCATATCTCCGGGCACGACTTCGGCACATGATGCGGAACGAACGCACGAAGTCAAGACGGGCGCCAGTGCATCATAAAATGTTATATTTCTGCCAAAAAAAGAAATGCATATAAAAACTAACAATCGAACAAATTGTAATGCTTCACGCCTGCATAGAGAGAGAGAGAGAGAGACAGGGAGAGGGAACAGAGATCATAGCCTTTAGCCGACAAAGGATCAGCGAGGACAAAAGCGCAGACAGTAGTAGTCTGTAGACAACAGTACGGGTATCAGTAACTGCGACAACTGGGGCGTTCGGGCAGTTTTATGGTTTGTTGCGCAACATGTGATGTCCAGACACACTCGAGATATGAAATGATGGGCTCAGGTGTAATTGTAACGCTAAATGGCATGAAATACGGGCAAGGTCGTAGACGGACCTCTCTTTGTGTTCTTCTTCTCTTTGGCATTGGTGACAAGTGCAGATGCGAGGATGCGAGCACAGGAGGATGGCGACACTGTTGACGATATCGCTGACGCGACAGTGGCACAGCCTACTATTTTATACTATGTCGATCGACCGTTCGACAGACGGACGCGTCGTGGCCGTTTTGCGGCTTGTTGTTGCATGGTGTGAAGTTGGCTGTAGGCGGGCGTTTTTCATTTCAAATCTACTTAAGATGTTTGCAGTCGCGGCTCTGCAGTTCTCATACCTGATGTGACCGACCGCTCGGTTCGAGGCTCTGTCGTCGCCAATTGAAGTAATAATTTTCTATTGTCTTGCGTCGCGCCTCTGACGCTCTATGGGCAATAAACTTAAAACGCGCTATTCACGAATTTCTGAACAAGTGGTCTCTGGCTGCCTCTAGTGGCTGCCAGCCTCAAGTAGCTCTTGTGTCGTCTGCAAAATTGGCGCCAGCCAGGACTTACGAGCAGCACGTACATGTCCTGCGACGGCATCGTCATCGTCGTCGCCGTACTTGCCTTCGCTTTGTGCCCTTCTATCTGCCGCTCTACATCTGCCGACAGACGCTGCACAGTAGCTCCGACAGCGACAACGACAGCGACTGTGACATTGCCGCTGGGAAGCTGCAGAGAAGAAGGAGGAGCAGCAGCAGCAGAAGCACCAGAGCGACAACGACATGTGTTTCACAGTGATAAGATTTCGGGTCGGGCAAGTTTTGATACTGCTGGCTATCTTGCCCTTCTTCTTGTTCTTCTACGAATGTATGTTTGTCTGACAATCTGTTCAGGCAGCTACTACAATTACTTTGGCCGGTAAACTAGAAACTTGTCTCTCTCCCTTTAGTGCCAAGTTTTATGTTCAAATTATAATTTGTGATCCACAAGAAACTAACTAATCAAAACATAGGTTATAAAGTAACATTTTTGGCATAAAGCTCAATCACCACGTTGCCATTAAATTTATGTTGTATTGTATTTTTCAAAATTATCAAAGTAATATTTTAATATTAATACTGTTTAATTCCCTTGGCTATGACATTAAAAGACTGTATAAAACTTAAATAGTACTTAATACACTTAAATTGATAACATATAATATTTCCTTAGAACAAATTGAAATAAATTAGTTATTTAGCTAACGGGAAAATGTTTATAAAAAGAAAAACTTTTTGTTGTCTCTAATATCGAAAGAGGTGAACCAAAATGTATATTATTATTTTCCTAGATTAATAACCTTTTATTTAAGTTGAATGAAATTACAAAAGATGTAACCCATAATGTATTTAAATATTATCGAGGATTAGAATTCCCAAAGGCGTTACATTCAAATGTATAGTATTTTATTAAAATGAACTTCAAAATTTATGTAAATATTTTTAAAGAGTGCTGAACAGTAACTGAGAACTTGTCTGTACAGCTTCTGCATAAATCACTGAACGGAATAGAAGGCTGATGTTAGAATGAAGTAGCTTAAGAGTCGTTTGGCTGTCCCAGAATATGGTAAAATAACCCACTTACAAAGAGTGGGGGAATGTGACCCGGAGAGTAGATTCCTATTCCGACTCTACCTTTAAACATCAAAAGTCTTTTTCAAAACTTCACATTTCCCAGGGTCTTTCCTTCAAATATAGAAAATTCTTTTTTAAATTGTCGAGATACCTATATCATAAGAGATATTCTTATAATTTTTCTAAAAAATAGTAAAACAACTTTTTAGTTTCAGAATGAAATTTTGAAAACCCCAAACTAATACACAAATAAATAATTTCTGCATTGATCCAAATGCTATAAATATAAATGCAAAATTTGGTCTAACTTGAGGGTACGTACGTAATCCCTTTACTGGCGGATACGGCCTATATCCATTCCTCTCATCGTGGCATGTGAAATTAAATAGCTGCCAATTTGTACTGCGCTATATGGGATTCGAAATTTAAAAAAGATGTAAAAAATAATATATAGGCAGTGCATGTAATGCTATGAAAACCCATTTAATTCTCCGCCATAGGTACGACCTTTTTGACAGCTATGCAACAAGAGGCCCCCTGGCTCCAACTAATTGGT